GGTTTTTCTGTAGTTTCTCAACCACTCCATTCCGCACCATACCATGAGATACGCATCATGACGTGATCCAGGCTCTGTGTCATGAAAATGGACAAGTATTCCATCCAACGATGTGACAGCTGCGTATTGCATTGTATGCACGGGTACGGTTCTGACTTCGTCGTTGAGCGAACTTCGTCTGCACAAAAGCCAAGGAACCGATCTTGCCATCTCACTTCCCTTTGCACTTGCCGCTATAGAGTGGTCTTGCAACCACAGTCAGGAACATGACCTGCGTGATTGTGCCGCTTAGATTGGCATTTGCGTACACGGAGCTTTTCACCATGCCACAGGTAGTGGCGTCGGTTGACTTGCGTCGCAAAGAACCCCTTCTATGAACATATCGGGCCACACGAGCTTGTCGTCACGTCCCGTACGTAGGAACGAACGAGCAAATGGCACCCGCTTGGTCTTGTGCTTGTCCGTCAGCATGGGCTTCACACAGCTTGTGCGTCGTCGAATATTCTTGGCCTTGACGAGCCTCCACCTTGTCGACGCGAAGCCTGTGGACTCGGCCAACGCACGGAATGTCCAGCGATGGTACGGATCGGTGGCCTTCGCGGCAGCCTCCACGTCGGCCAGAGCGGTTGTCCGCTTGAGGCGACAGTTTCCCTTCTTTCGCGCCGACATATCAGAATGGCCCAGGGTCGCCTCCGCAGACTGACCACATCGCCATATGAGCGATGCTAATTGCTGCGTCGCATAATGCCTTCATCGTAGCGTGTGCAGCGACACCGCCCTTCTTGATCGCGACCATCGAACAGTATAGTCGCCTTCGCTCACTTTCGGCGAGGTCACGACCCGTCGTGGCGGCGCTGACCATGCATGTTGGTTGATTCGAATTTAGTCTAGTTGGGGCGATCTGAAGTGTTCTAGGCGTACCGACGCTTCAAGGCGAGTCGAATACGCGAAGAATCAGGCCAATCGGAGAAGAGTTGCAAGAGTGGTCGGTGTTTACAGTTTAAAATTCGTGTGCGAAAGATTTGATTGAATGGTTCTCGTGAACTATGACCAATATTATTGACCTAAAATACCTCCTTTTTGATGATGAATTCGGCAATATTTTGAGCCTGACTGGGCGTTTCGAGTGTCAATAGCCACCGAGTTATCAAACGGTAGAAAACCCACAACAGCATATTGGTACGGAGGAAGTCCCTGAAACATTAGTCACATACATCCTCCTATTGAAGTGTGACACACACCTTTGCCAGTTCGGTAAAGTTCTCTTCCGACAAAATATCAAGTGATAGAATTTATCATCCGAAGCAATGGTGGCGCAAGTGATCCGGTAATTGGTGGCTGCATTACTTCCATGCACCTTTCAAAAATTTGTGGTACTATCGCAGCACCCCTTGAGCGCGTCAGGTAGTGCACAGTAGACAGACATGAGATCTGTTCATAGTTAGAAACGTGATGCCGCGCTCCTGCGATCGTCTACAGTGGAGGATATTTGACTTGATCGTCCATTGAAAGTCGTCTATGGTCAATGGCGCATTCAGCGAATGCACTGTAAACGAGGAAGATTTGTGGGAATCACCTCCCCTTCGAGTGCCCGGTTGTCGCTAGCGCGTATAAGCGCCACATGCAGTGACGGAGACTTCGTCTGCAATGCGCGTTTGCACCCTCGCAGCGAGTTGAAATCTAAATTACCGACCATGCTGAATCGAGTCTGCCCTTGTTGGAGCAGTGCTCTGGCGAAGAGGACGCTGGCCATCTTGTATTGGAGTGACGTACGACGGAACCTGAAGCGCCTCAACGAACGAGGACGTGATAGAGGTGTGCCGCACTTGTGAAGATCAAAACACAGTGTTGGTGGACCGGCAACTCCCAGGAAACACTCGGCGCCGTATATTGATCTCCAGCGATCAAATGCTGAACTGACTGGTCCCCCTTTGATCAAGGGGGGATCCTAGTCCTAATCTTCCCAATCAAAACAATCCTAGAACATGAATTCTATGCATACACTTCATGCACAGTCCGGAACTTGGTTGGCTTCGATCTCAACGGCCTGTCCCGCATCCCTGAAGCTGTTGCTGCCGTCCAGGTTGCTCCCTCCTAAGAGGGTCCTCTGGTGAATGTTGCGTACTCGGAGCTCTGGGCAGACCCATCCTGATCAGTCGCACGCAACAGTGATGGCTGAACGCGAGAGAGTACAATTTCCTAATTTCCTTGTAATGTAGGGCAGACTGTGTGGAAAACTTGTAGGCGGTCGCAACAAAAGCAGTCGACCGGGGAACAGGCTGTTATTGACAGACAAACGGAGAGCGTCTTCTTCGTGGATTCGAATTGCCTAGAGAGGTCGTGAGTGGAACGCCCCAACGGAGGGAGGTGGGGTGGACGGGCGGACCCCTTCCTGAGAACTGCGGGGGCCTTCTAATACATACAATATAAAGATAAGTCGAACCAAAATATAATGACTTTATTACAGTGCTACACTCCCGAACAATTCACAATCATCCTCCATACGATCTTCCTCGTCGTACCTCGAATTCATTCCCGCGACAGCCTGCATTTCTTCATTCATCGCCTTGCTTCTTGGAATCTTGTAACGATTGTCGCCGTTCAATAAGGCCCAAAATCGCTTCCGGGGTATGCGTTGGTTTCCGCCCGGAGTTTACCTTGATTCGAGACTTCGTCTCGGCATGCATGCCAGGTTCCTTTATGGCGTTTGCACGTTTGCAGATGCGCCAACTTGTCGATTCA